GGGGGGGAGAGGGATTTCCTCAGCAAGGCTGTGCTCTGCGAAGCAGATTCTGCAATGACTTATTCATGCACAGAGGGTGCCAAGGCAGTACAACCAGCCAAGTGCCTGGTATTGAGAGCTCTGCTAAGTGGGAAATATTCATGCACACACCTGCTTGAGAAATCCTTTAACCGATCTCTTCACTCTTCTTCCCTCAATCCCCTGGTCCCACTCATGGCTGTGCAAAGGCTTTTCATAGAATCCTAGCAAGTTGGAAAGGGCCACAAGGGCCACCTAGTCCAACCCCATGCCATGCAGGAATACACAACTGCAGATGCCCATCCATCCTCTGTTTAAAGATCTCCAAAGATGGAGAGGTCACCACCCTCCATTCATTGTTAAATAGCTCTCACAGTCAAGGCATTCTTCCCAACATCTAAGTGGAATCTCTTTTCTTTCAATCTGAATCCATTGGTTCTCATTCTAGTTCCTGAAGCACCAGCAAAGAAGCCTACTCCATTGTTTGCATGGCATCCTTTGAGATATTTACAGATGGCTTCAAGCTAAACATGTCCAGCTCAATCATTCCTCGTTGGGATTGGTTTCCAGACTTTTCGTCATCTTTGTTGCCCTCCTCATGATACGTACCCACTTGTAAATATCTCTCTTGAACTGTCCAGAACTGGGCATAGTATTCCAACTGAGGTCTAACCAAAGCAAAATAGAGTGGTTCTATACTATACTTCTGTCGATGTAGCCTAGAATTGCGTTGACGTTTTTAGACATTGCATCACACTCTTGATTCATGTTTAGCAAAAGGCCTACTAAGACCCCCTAGATCCTTTCCATATGTACTGCTTTAAACCCAGGTGCCACCCATCCTATATTTGTGCATTTACAGGATGGGTGACACCTGGCCTTTCAGATGAGCACATTTATTTATTCTGTCGCACAGTTAATCAATAGTGCTAATGCACAAGATTAATCAGAGCTAGAACTGGTGCAATGCTATTTCTTCTGCTGCACAGCCTCTTCCGTCACTTTGGTGTGGAGGCGGCTGTTGGCTCCATTGCTTTGGTGCAGCAAACTTCAACTGGATTTTATGGGAGCCACTCCTGGCCATTGTGGAGCTTTCCAAAGTCCTGAAACCTATTCTCAAAATAGATTCAGCATCTTAGCTTCTGTAACAAATGGATCAGCTCTTAGAAAACCCAGCATGGGTTTACCACTCTAAAGCAATAGAGTTGTCAGTCATATATGTTCTGGTTTATTGTTGTTGTTGTTGTTGTGTGCCTTCAAGTCATTTCTGACTTATAGCGACTCTAAGGTAACCTTATCATGGGGTTTTCTTGGCAAGATTTGTTCAGAGGAGGTTTGCCATTGTCTTCCCTGAGGCTGAGAGTGTGTGACTTGGAATCATAGAGTTGGAAGAAACCACAGGATCCAGTCCAACCCCATCCTGCCATGCAGGAACACACAATAAAAGCATTCCTGACCAATGGCCATCCACTCTATGTTTAAAAACCTTCAAAGAAGGAGACTCCACCACCCTCCAAGGCATTGTGTTCCACTGTTGGACAGCAATTATTGTCAGAAAGTTCCTCCTGAAATGTATATGGAATCTCATTGCCTGTAGTTTGAATCCATTGCTTCTTATCCTACTGCCAAAGTTACCCAGTGGGCTTCATGGTCGAGTGGGAAATCAAACCATAGTCATTACATAAAATTCAACCTATCTTGCAGTGCAAACATCAGGCCCTAGGACTAAATATGGTCTTCTTAAAGCCCCAGTTGGGTCCCTCTGAAGTTCCCATGCCCTCTTACTGCAAATACCTCTAGGTCTCCAAGAAATATGGCCGGGGAGGTGAGAGGGGCACTGCCACTCCTATGGTCCCCATGACAAGCTGGAGCGTGTCCAGAGGAGGGTGATCAAAATGGTGAAGGGTCTGGAAACCATGCCTTATGAGGAGAGGCTTAGGGAGCTGGGGATGTTTAGCCTGGAGAAGATGTGGAGATATTAAGAGGTGATACGATAGCCCTGTTTAAATATTTGGAGGGATGTCATGTTGAGGCTGGAGCAAGCTTGTTTTCTGCTGCTCCAGAGAACAGGACCTGGAACAACAGATTCAAACTACAGGAAAAGAGACTCCATCTCAACATTAGGAGGAACTTTCTGACAGTAAGAGAGGTTCAACAGTGGAACATGCTCCCTTGGTGGAGTCTCCTTTGGAGATTTTTAAACAGAGGCTGGATCGCTATCTGTCATGAGTGCTTTGCGTGTGTCTTCCTGCATGGTAGGAGGTTGGACTGGATGGCCCTTGGGGTCTCTTCCAAGTCTAGGATTGTATGTTTTGCTCCAGCCTTTGGCCTGGGGTCTTCAGCCTGCCCACCCACCCTCTCTCTCGGTCTTTCTCTCCTGTGTCCAGGGTGCACATGGAGGTGCCAGGCACAATGGCAGGTAGTCGGGGCAAGGGGCAGGGAAGCCACAAAGGGGGAATGGGGAATGGAGGCCAATCCCTCTCCCTCCTCTGCCGGGTGCCGACCCCAATCCCACCCTGGTCTGGGTGCCAGGAGTAGGGACCAGGGTTGGGAAGGCTGGCAGAGTGCAGAAGTGTTGAGGGCAGTGCACAGAGGGATGCCTGGTGGGCTTGCTGCCTGGTGGGTGACCAGGATGAGGGCTCCCCTGGCAGAAGGGCAGCAGCCAGGAGGAGGCAGGGGCTGGTTTGGGGTATTGTCTGGCATTTATCAGCAGATGGAGATTGAGAATAGAGTGCTAACAGAGTTGCTGGGGTGGGTGGGTCTCTGATTCATAGGGTCTCCATAAAGCAAAATCAACTTAATGGCAATTAATAACATTTTTTTATTCTCACAACAAGCCTGTGAAGTAGATTGGGCTCGGAAAGACTCTTTGTGCGTGTGTCTGTGTTGTATGCTTTCAAGTCATTTCTGACTTACGGCTACCCTGTCTGT